AATAATGTAGTAAGGTAAGCTAGCAGCAATTTTTTCCATTTTGTAGATGAATTGAGGCCCCAAAGGATTTCTCTGCTAAGGTCACACAGCCAACAAGATGCAAAATTAGCATTAGGTTGTAGTTCTCTGTTTCCTATCACCTACTTCTTCTCTCTACTAAAGCTTTCTAATGCCATTAATCTAAGTTGTTACAGTGTTCCTTTTGTTAAAGATATACCTGGCCTTGTGTATTTGGATCCGTATGTAAAGTTGTTGATGCTTATTACAGCCTAGAAGTTCTTAATCCATTATGGTAGAATTTCTTCTGGTTCTTTTCAGTTATGATATGTAAGGAATATTAATTTAATTCTTACAGCTAAAATTTAAAGCTCTTTGAACAAATAATGAGTGATTTATGTAAAGAATACTAGGTTAATTTTGAGGCACTCAGAATTTACATTTTGAATGAATTTGACTTTCTTTAAAAAGGTGATTTAGAATATAAGATACTTTTTTTTGGTTGCAGGTTGGCTGATCAAGATGACACTCAGTAACCCTTCAGAACTAGATGAACTAATGAGTGAAGAAGCATATGAGAAATACATAAAATCTATTGAGGAGTGAAAATGGAACCCCTAAATAAACTAGTTTGAAACAACTTAATCTAGTATAGTTGTCTTAAATTAGTGGTGGATAGATTTTTAAAAAGCAACTTTTAGCAAAAGAAACTACTTTCAACAATGTTGCCTGAAGAAAATACCCCTTAACTTCCTAATGATTTCACATAAACACTATGCATCTTTTTCACAACAGCCTGTGATTTTTAGGCTAGTCTCCAGTTATAATACTCAGAATTCCTGAAATTATCTGTGGTAAAACTAGTTATAAAAATTATGTAATTCAAGGATAACATTGTTATCTTAACCTTACAAAATATTGTAACTTGCTTACAGCCATCCCTGGATTTGGGTCAAAATACTCAATGAACTTGCCATTGGAAATAAATGACAGTGGAGAAAAGTTTGTTAGTTGTATAGTGTCCAGTGAAGAACATTACTATCTTAATTTTGCAATATACTGTGTTTGCTGGTGCTATTTTTATACAGTGAAGCAACAGCCTTGCAGGAAAATAAGAAATAGTTTAATAATAAAATATTCAACTTCTTAATCGTGTTTTTTGTTTTGCTGTTAATATTTCATTTAGTGACTCCACTAGTATTTGTAAAGATGCTAATTTTAACTTACGGAAAGTTATTTTTTAAAAAGGAATTTTAAGCCCTAGCGATGAAAGGTTGGTTCCAAGAAAATGTTTCCTTTTAGTCACAAATCTTGCTTTTCTTAAGCAAAGATCTAATTGCCTGATAGCATCAAGTACTATTTTTTGGTTATTTTTAACATAAAAGAAATCATTGACTTTGTTTTTCTATCATGCCAATTAGAAGAGAGGAGTAAAAACAAGGAAAGGTGAAATTTGATCAGCATAGCACATGACATCCTTAAGAAAGTTAAACCACATTCACATAAGGTTTCTACTTAAGTAATGGGGACAGAAGTGGACACAGTGGCCAACATAGCATACTTTCTAATTAAGCCAATGGTAGTACTGTAGTATGCTGATATTTGGGGCAGGGGAGAGAACATACATAAGTATATACACACACACAGATATATATACTTATACACACACACAGCAAGAACAAACTTCTACCATTTTCCCAGTTACTAGAGGAAAAGGGAAGTATGTAGACACTACTATCTTCTGGTAAATAAAGAGCAAATAAAGAACATAGAGTACGTAGGTAGGTAAATAACATACAAGTCTTTCTTGTTCCTCTGCAGAAAGAATGCATTCTTTCCAGGACTGTGCCAGTGGCCATATCACTGCTGAGCTGTGTCTGTTATTAATCAGGTTAATTAATTTGACTGTCTGCTTTGGAAATAGGGATGAGTAATAATTGCTCATTTAAATCTAAATAAATCTTGTTTTAAAGTTACTCTCATATATTACCTTCTTTCATCTTTACCACAGTAGCCAGAGCTAGGTAGGGCATATCCATAACTACCACCATTTCACAGATAAGGTGACGGAGAGGATAAGAGGATATGGTTAGGATTTTCACATTTCCTGGCTCACTCTTCATCAGTTCCTTAGCAAAATGTAAGTTACTATGATAATACTTAAGGGAATTCCCTGGCGGTCCGGTGGTTAGGCGCTTTCATTACCAGGGCCCAGGTTCAATCCCTGGTCAGGGAACTAACATCCCACAAGATGCGTTAATGCGGCCAAAAATATATTTAAATGGGAATCTGGCAGGCGGGGGAAGGCTCAAAGAACAAAACTTTATGACAACTTGCTCTTTTTCACTGTTTAGAATACAGAGCCAGTTCAACCTTCGTTTCTATTTTAGTGCTGCTGAAAATAAGAGGTGTTGAATGGCCCTCCAAATGGACTAAATCAACAGAGAATTCAATTTCTCAGACCTCATATTCCTTTGAATGGTTTTGGTCTTAATAGAGGAGCTTAATATAGGTTTTAAATAATGCTTTCTAATAATTTAAAATTCAAGAAATGGAACAGGTAACCCTGGAAGTGTTCAAAAAATTTTTTTTCTCTTATCACCTCCCAGATAGTTGAATAGTTTAAAGAAGTTGATGGCATTAAGTTTTAATAAAGAAACCACTAGAGGGCTCTCTGTACAGGCATGCTAGTATGAAAATCAGGCTGGTATTTCAGATCAACTCTCAAGCAAATCAATTTCTGAATTTTTCTGAATTTCTGCAGCTTTTCTGGGGCTGCTAAAATGTCAGAGTACCACCCACCTTCAGTTTTGTAAAATTACGCTAACTATAACTGTGCCTTCATTACTTCTCAGCAATCACTGTATTATTTCAGACCTAATCATGCATCTTTCTCAGTGATTAAATTCTTTTTTCTTCTCAGCAACATGGCTTTACTATTAACTACCTATCCCCATCAGTCTTTTTTTTTTTTTTTTTTCCTTTTAAATACACTTTTTTAGAGAGTAGATTTAGGTTCAAAATTGAGCAGAGAGAAGTTTCTGTATACCTCCTGCCCCCATCTTGGTGTTTTTAAAACACTCCTTTGCCAACTCTGAGATCTTTTTCTACTAGAGCTTCTGTATCTTGATTCCATCTCTACTTTGGCTTTTTATAAACATGACTAGACAAACACTCATCCCTTTAAGTTTCTGCTCAGTCATGTTATCAGGCTTTTTTTTTTTTAACATCTTTATTGGAGTATAATTGCTTTACAATGGTGTGTTAGTTTCTGCTGTATAACAAAGTGAATCAGCTGTATGTATACATATATCCCCATATCCCCTCCCTCTTGTGTCTCCCTCACACCTTTCCCATCCCACCCCCGCTATCCCACCCCTCCAGGCGGTCACAAAGCACCGAGCTGATCTCCCTATGCTATGTGGCTGCTTCCCACTAGCTATCTATTTTCCATTTGGTAGTGTATATATGTCCGTGCCATTCTCTCACTTCGTCCCAGCTTACCCCTGCTATCAGGCTTTTACCTGCTAAGCTTCAACAGTGATTAGAAGCCCGTTTAAAACGGGTATGCAGGCAAAATTAGTGTGAAGCAAATCATTTGCCAGATCTTCCACTTCCACATGTACTTAGGAGAATGTGCTTTCAGTCAAGAAGTTTAACAGTTATTTAGTAAATCTTAGTAAAGACTTTAGGTATACTTCCCAGAAACTGAGAACACAGCTTTAATGACTTGGCTAACAAATCCTGCTAGTCAGGTGGTTTCAAATTTTCTATTTTCAACAGAACTAAAGGAGGTTCTTCCTAACCAAACTGTCAGGTGATAATTAAAAAAAATTTTGTTGCTTACTAGGTGATTTCTGGTGTGGAGTTTAAAAAGTTAAGAGACACTGCAATGACAAAAATTCCTTCATGGGGCTTCCCTGGTGGCGCAGTGGTTGGCAGTCTGCCTGACGATGCAGGGGACGCGGGTTCGTGCCCCGGTCCGGGCATGCCGCGGAGCGGCTGCCCCCATGAGCCATGGCCGCCGAACCTGCGCGTCCGGAGCCTGTTGCTCCGCGACGGGAGAGGCTACAGCAGTGAGGGAACCCGTGTCCCCTGCATCGGCAGGCGGACTCTCAACCACTGCGCCACCAGGGAAGCCCTATTTTTTTATATATATATATTTTTAAATATTTTTTTTGACGGGGACCCTTTTTAAAGTCTTCATTGAATTTGTTACAATATTGCTTCTGTTTTATGTTTTGGTTTTTTGGCCTGGAGGTAGGTGGGATCTTAGCTCCCCAACCAGGTATCAAACCCACACCCCCTACATTGGAAGGCAAAGTCTTAAACATTGGAACGCCAGGGAATTCCCTCCAAATGGCTTTTAATCACAGGGGTATAAAAGGCTTATGATATTTTTCTCCAGCAGAAATCTTCACACTTTTAAAACCAGAAAGCACAAGGGCTTTGGAACCAGACCTGAGCTGGGTTCTACCACGAATGCCTGACTCCGGGCACAGGTTCCCACCCCTGGCTGCACCCTGGGATGCTCGAAAATACCAGCACCAAAGCTGGGAGGGGAGCAGGGGGTGACATTTCACTGTCTTCAACGAGTTCCTCAGCTGATTTAGCAACGTGGGGCTACTTTTCTACATTTGTATAAAAGATGCCAATGCCCACTTCACAGGCTGCGCTTCTACACGACAGGGGGTGGCGCCTTAAAAACTTACTGGCCTGCACCACCCTGGCACAGTCCTTATGGGGGAGAGGCGATTGGGGGACAGTGGGCAAAGTCTGGGGACATTTTTGGTCGCCTGGCATCTAGTGGGTAGAGACCAGGGACGCTGCTAGCCACTCCCCATCACAGAACTATCCGTGCCAAGGGCAGCAGTGCGGAGGGAGAGGTCCTGGGTCTCTGAGGGGAAGCTGGTCCCAAAGCCCTCACTTTCTAACTCCAGGGTCCGACGGGCACCCAACCCCTCAGTGGGTTTCCCTGACCAGCACTTAAGGCTACACGGTACCTCGCGAGGCGGCCTCCCGCGCTCTCAGCTGCAGTGAGCTCCTCAGGCGCGGGTGGAATGTTCGCGGTCCCGCACAGCCTGCCGGGAGCACGCGCCCACCGCGGTCAGTGGGCGTCGCCTCTCGCGCTCAGCTTTGTTGCGCGTGGCGCGTATACGTCACTTCCACTGCGAATCCCCCGCAGTCCCGCCTACCGCCCCGCCCCCAGCGCGTCCGTAACCCAGGGCAACTGCCTCTGCAGCCCGCCGGCGGGGACTAAGCTACCCGGGGGCCTTGTACCCCGCCGGCCCCACAGGAGGGTGTGAGCGGCGGCGGCCGCTTCCCCACCTCCGGGGCAAGTCCCCAGACCACTCCACGGGCTGCAGCGCGAGACCCCCTGCCCAGTTCGGAAGGAAACTGCCTTCTGAGGCGGGGAGGCAAAAAGGAGAGGTAGGGTGGGCCCGGGCTGGAATGAGAGCGGGGAGGGCCTGGGGAGGAGGGCGCGGAATGGGTGGGGCAGTGGGAGGAGCCATTGAAAGGGCGGAGGCCTGTGGGGGAGGAGCCAATGGGGAAGGGGTGGGGCTTGTGGGGCAAGCGGGAGCGCTTTGCTGGAGGGCATAGCTATTGAAAGAAGGGGATTGGGAAATTGGGATTGACATATATACACTAATATGTATAAAGGAGATAACTAATAAGAACCTTCTGTATAAAAAATAAATAAAATAAAATTTAAAAATTCAAAAAGAAGGGGAGCATCTTTTGTGGCAAGGTAGGAACTGCTGGAGGAAGGGGAGGAGCTAGATGAGGAAGAAGGAAGGATCGTGGAAGAAGGGGAGGGGCCTGTGGGGGAGGGGTGGGGCTACTAGAGGAAAGAGAGGAGCCAGGTGTCAACTGCCTGGGCTTCAGGAGCCACAGGTGGAGTGAGTGTGTGTTTCAAGACTTGAACTTTCCTGTACATTGTATGCTGTGTGAGAGCCGGGAAGACAGGCGTTGCTTTACCATTTTACTACCAGTGCTAGGCATCTAATAGGCACTTCGTGAGTAATGAATGTGACTGGAAAAAGCAGAAGAGTTGGAGACTGGGATTGGAGTAGAAATGTTCTGGTAGGGAGGGATGGTTGTAGAAACTGCTGTCTAGGAATCATTCTGTGAATAATCAAAGCTGCTGTGCTTTGTAGGTGTATAAGAAGCATAAAGCACAGATAATGTACATGGGGAGATAACATTTATACTCTTGAAAATGTGAACAAATTGTTCGAATGGGGTGGTGCAACCTTTGAGGCGAAGTTTCAACTGCCAAGTTGTGTTCCCAGACGGTAAGTTAGGTCGCAGTCCCAGTATCATTTTCCTTTAGAAGCTATATTGCCAGTGATCAGCATGCCCAGGCCAATCTTCAAGACCTATTTAACCAGTTCATATGCATAAAACTTAGCTCTGCAGTAAGAAACTTAAGTTCCATCATGGCTAAGAGTGTTTGTATTCTTTGATTTCTTCATTCAACACATGTTGATAAGGATCCACAGGAATAACCTTTCAGAATTCCAAGTGAGGCTGCCAGAGACCCGACATTCCCTGGCTGGAATTCTGACATAGATTCAAGATTCTCTGAAACCTGAAACTTCTAGGAAAGTGGGGGTAGGTGTGTGGGCATGACGTAGAGCCAGGGAGCGGGTAAGGAGTTTTGAGGTAATCACAGCCTGCTTTCGACAGAAACAACCTGCTTTTGACTTCAACACTCTGGGCTTTTCACCTCTTCTGGCCCATTAACATTCCCTTCATCATTAATTGATTAAGAATATGTCAACTAGGTATAGGAATAGAGGGTAAGGCATTTGTGGTCTGACTGCATGGACAGGTGATAGCGAATATGTGGCAAAGATGATGGCAAAAAGAAAGAAAGAAGAGTGTCGGCACTCTTCAAAGACAGTAAGGTGCCTCGAATTCCTCTCGTGCTTTGAATCTCTGACTTCTGCTGCTGCTACTCCTGCTGCTAGCCAGAGAAAACTCTCTGCTTTTAAAGGGCTCATATCATTAGATTAGGCCCACCCCAATAAACCAAGATAATTTCCCTATCTTCGGGTCAACTGATTAGCAACCATAATTACATCTATAAAGTCCCTTTTGCCACATAATATAACTTACTCACGGATGTTATAGCACATCATATTCATAGTCCCAGGGATTAGGATGGGAAACCTTGTGGAGGGAGGATTGGCAGAATTCAATTTACTACAATTCAATTTACTACATTATCTTTCAGTAGAAAAGCTACTGCAACAGGTTTTTTTTTTTTTTATTTTCCCAGTTTCTCTCCGTGAACATAAATCACACTTATACACTATTAGTTCCACCTCTAATCATTTTACCTTTGAATTGATTCAAGTACACTCTTGGTCTTCCAAAGAATGGAGCTTGTATTCTGATACTTTTAATCTGTAATATTCATGTTTTACTCTGACTTTATGATACGTACCAGCCTGGCTTTGCACGGTAGAATACCTATAGAAATTTGTTCCTTTCTATAGTGCTGAAATACGCTTTTGGGGGGTATTTTTTCATAGAAAAACTACATTTATTTTTCTTTCATACCTGAAGCTAGTTCTTGTTTTCTATCATTATGTAGCTTTATATACAATAGTGATAACTTACAGGAGTAAATAGCACTCTAGTCCCTTTCATACGTAACTCTTCATCCAGTTATTTTAAAAACTATGTTATAGCTAGCTAGTTTCTTCTTTTGCTTCAGGTGTAATAGTTAAATGAATCAGCGCGAGAATCAGAAAGGTCTGGCCTTGGAATTTCAGTTGACACTAACAATCTCAGTGACTGTGTTCATTGGTAGAGGTCAGGCTCTGCTGCAGTAACGGACAGATCCTAAAATCTCAATGGCTTGACTCATTAAGTGTGTTATCATTCATGCATAGTCTGATGAGTGCTTATGAGGGTTCTTCCCAAAGCTGTGACTCGGGATTCAGGCTTCCTTCGTTTTGTGATGCTACCAACTCAACATGTGACTTCCAAGGTCATAGTGGGAGGAGAAGAGAGAACTGAAGGGACACTTTACCTCTTAAATGTCTCATCCAGGAAGTGATATAATCAGTTCCACTCGTTCTGCTGGCTAGACTAGTCACAGGGCTCTAACACAACTGTAAGAGAGGCTGCAATGTAGGGAAAGACAATGGCTCTTTTGGGAGAACTAACTTTCTCACAGTGACCACGGAAATTTTCCCAACATTCCCATATGTTTTCTCATTAATAAAATTATCCTAATAATCAGTAACTATGAGTTCCTCTCTTTCAGAGGTTCAGTATAGGTACCAGATATAAATATATGTTGACTTTTATTTTTATTTAGCTGAGTTGAAACCAGTGTTTCTTGTATGTCATCTTTGTCTCAGAATTGTTCATTTTCAATATAATGATTTCCATTCCCCTCCAGCCATTATATTTTCTTTTCTGGCATTCTTCCAACCTTGATCACAGACAGCTGGTGGCTTGTATTGATTAGTAATAACGTGCACATTTGACTGAGTCATTTTGAGCTGTCCCTTCCCACCTAGAGTGGGGTTGAAGCATTCTGAATTGGGGTTGAAGCATTCTGAATAGACTGATCTCTAATAAAGAACAATAAAGACAGGGACCAGTTATGGATGTCCCTTGCACCCTTCTCAATGTGGCTAGACAGAGAGTCTCATACCACCAGAACCATCAGACTGCTGCTTTCTGATTGGCATTGGATTCCCAGGAACAAGAATTTCCACACAATATCATGAAGAAAAGCATGCATGGACTTTTAGAGTCAGAAAAACATGTCTGCAAATTCTTTGATCCCTCTCCCATGCAGAAGTGGAGTGTGGGTGTCCCCTCCTCTTGTGTGTGGGATGACCTCAGTGGTTGGTCAACCAGGTGAGTCCAGCAAAAGTGAAACGATGTGACTTATGAGGCTAGGTCGTAAAAGGCAATTCAGCTTCTGCCTATTCTAATATTGTAATGATATCAAACACTTGGCAAGCGTTAGTTGTCCTTCCTTTCCTCAAGCTTATCTTTCTTCAACTAGTTTCCTGAGAAACAAGACTGACTCTGCAATGCTGTGGTAGAAATTGGTTGCAGCCCAGCATCTTTACATTTTGGTAATATATACCGTATTATGAGTACCCTCTTTGAGGTAGAACAGAAAACTCAAGACCCCTGTACTACCTTGTAGCAAGGATTCTGGCATGTGACCTAGTTTCCACAAATTAGATGCACCCTCACAATACATGCATTGAGAAGTGAATAACAGGAAGAAGTGGTCGTTTGCAAAGGGGTGAAAGAAAATTGTCGTGATGGTGGCAGAGGCATTTGATACTTTGGGGCTGCGGTGGCAGAGCTTTGGAATCCAAACCCAAGTGTCCTATTTCTGAAAGCTGAGTCAGTTACATATTTTGAATAAATAGTTCCAGGAACAAATTTTTCCTCACTTTATAGCCTCAAAGTCTGGCTTTCTGACCCACTCTTCCCCTGAAGATTTTGTAGGCTACCTAATAACTTCTGATAATTTTGTTATTAAAAACCAATGAGGAATATATAAAATAGATAAACGGGAACCTACTTTATGGCACAGGGAACTATATTCAATATCTTGTAATAACCTGTAATGGAAAAGAATCTGAAAAGGAATATATATATATATATAAAAATCACTTTGCTGTAAACCTGAAAATAACACAGCATTTTAAATCAACTATACTTCAATAAAAAGTTGTTTGTTTTGAAAAAAAAAAACAATTTGTGGTTACAATCAAGACAGGGAAGGGAAGAGAGACAAATTAGGAGTTATGAGATTAAAAAAAAAATCAATGAGGATTCTGTCATTTACAACAAAGGCCCAACTAATAAAAATGTACACTTCCAATCTGAGCCTCAGATCCAACGATTAACATAACACTTATGTAAGAATAATGTCTCATACATAGTTTATAAAGAGCTCTCATGAGTTATTTTTTAATATAAATTTTCATCTTTAATGCCAAACTCTTTTCCAAATTATACCCATTTACTCTCCTACCATTGACATTTTACACTTTATCAACAGGGATTTTTTAAACTTTACCAAAATTTTGGTTATGTCGTGCTATCTCAATTGACTTTTTGTGTAAAGTTCTATGAATTTTAACATATATATAGACACCAATCTGTCTACCATTGCTATAGTTCTGTCTTTTTGAGAATGTCATATAGAGTATACACTCCTGTATACTGTAGAGCATGCAGTACAATTTTTTGAAAATGACTGGCTTCACTCAGCATAATGCCTTTGAGATTCATCCATGTCATTATACGTAGAGAGAGTTTGTTTCTTCTTATTGCTGAGTAGTTGTCCATTGTATGCGTATACAGTTTGGTTACCTGTTCACCTATTGAAGGATATTTGGGGTGTTTTCAGTTTGAGGCAATTATGAACAGAGTTGCTATAAATACTCATGTA